TGCATGAAAAAAAGCTTAAATTAGCATAAAACCAGCTGAAAAGTAGCTAAAAATTGAAGAAAGAAGCTGAAATTTCCAGAAGGAAATGGAGAGAGCACATTTTTTTTGCTGAATTAGGCAGAAAAAAGTTGAAATAAGTGCAATAAAAGTGGAATTAGCTGAAAAGACTAACGTTGACATAAAACGGCTAAATAGTAGCTGAAATAGCAGAAAACGCAGAATAAAGCTGAAAGGAGAATAAGCTGAAATTAGCAGAAAGAAGTTAGACGCACAAAATATAGTTAGCAGAAACAATCTGTAAGGAGCGCAAAACAGCTGAAAAAGAAACAGCTGAAATTGGTTGAAAAGAGCTTATTTTTTTTATTTGTACAAGGAAGCTGAAAGAAGTTGAAGCAGAACAAAATGTGAAAAAAGGTTGTAAACAGATCTAAAGATTTGAAGAATGTAAAATTAATTTTCTACGAGAAAAAAGTGGCAGAAAATGCTAAATATTCCAAAAAGCTAAAGCTGCACCAATACCAAAAGTCATAGCAGGATTGTCCTGAAAGAGCTGAACGTTTTGATGATTTACTGAAATAGCACACACAATTGTGGAACGAGAAAGATGCAACAAACATACGGAAAAATAAAAAGGCTCACAATAGTGTGAATGCTTCATAAACATTCACACTATTAAAAAAAACTGCACCTCTGCTTTCTTTAGTTTTATCGTTTTTATAAATCTCTTCATCGAGTACCTAAAATCACATCCCAAGGTCTTTGAGCGTCATAATCTCACAGAATTGATGCACGCCTTGAAGGAAAGTCTGAGGCTCCACTACAAAGAGGAGATGTAGGACGAGATACGTTGAAGAGCTTCATCCTGCTGATCTGCTGAAGACAAAAGAGGAGCGAACATGCTGCAGCATGACGGGGGCAACATGGATGGGCTGACATGGAATCAAAAGCATCCTCTGTGGAAAACATAATTGCAGCTGTGTGCTCTCTGTGGACTGCAGCAGAAGTTCGTCTCCGCTTGCTCATTAATGAAATGATCAAATTAGACCTGCTGTGACGCTGGAAACAGTTTTCAAGATGCTGCTGCTTGTGTTTTGAACGATTTGCAAAACTGTAAGTTGTATTTTCTCTGCTGAGGTGTGGAGTAAAATGCTGGAGACCTCTCAGACTTGTTCAAACAGACACAGACAGACGCCCTTGTCTGCTTCCTAGTTTAATTTTATCGTTTGTTTCAGGATCCTCCCCGATCTGTCATCGGTGTATTAATTGTATGCTCTGCCCACTTTTACCTTCCACAGAGTTGGACCCTCTGGCTCACATCCTTTGAAAACTTGCATCACGGCATTAATAAAATCTGAGACGTCTGTGATGATCAGATGAGCTCAGATCAGACGTGGAGCTCTGTCAGGATCTGCGCTTTTATAGTCGTTTATTTTTATTCTCTTCGTGGTTTATGCTTCATTTCTATGTGTTGTGGATCTTTGTGACTGAGTTCAGTTTCCCCATCCACTCTCACCCGATCCTCGTTTGTCACATCAGCGTTTCTTTATATTTTGTGTCTTTAGTTCTTCATCTGTGCATTATGTCATGGTCCCTGAGCGTCTCTGTTTGGAAGTACTTCAGCTGCCACGTCAGCATGGTGAGCTCTGTCATTAAATAACTGAACTTTAAGAGCATTTTTTGAGTTTTTGTCTGCACCTTGGGTTATAATTTCCACAACGTGATAAAATCGTGGTGACTGGAAGGAAAAATGGTCTGAGATCTCCTAAGAAGATGCTTTAATTACTTCTCTTTGCTGCGTCTCTTGATCGCTTAGCAATAATAAAATAAAAACGGTTAATTAAACTGTGACTATATCAGTGCAATCAGCATGAGTCCTAATCAGCAGAGCTGTAACAATGATTTTGAAACAAACAATTTTTATTGTAATTTCCTGTTGAGGAGTGCTATTTTTCCCCTTTTTGCATCCCAAAGTGTCCCTAAGAGCATTAGGCGTATGCATGTTGAATCTCAGTCACAATTATTTGCAACAATTCCGCCAGATTTAAATATGACGCAAAATAAATTTATTCTGTGGGATTCAGACAAAAACAAATGTCAGTAAATCAGCAGCACTGTGTGCAAGCCCTCCAAGAAGAAAAGAACTGAAAAAAGTAAATCAGAGTCAGAGATTCTTTATTGTCATTCGCACCTCATGTGGTACATGTGGTGGAGAAAATTATGTACACAGGGTCCCAGTTACATCCAACAATAAAATGTATAAGAAAAACAGTAATAACATCTAAGATATGAACTAAGAAAAACATCAACTAAATATACACTAAGCACTCATAACATAAAACATTGAACATCAGCACAAACATGAACATGAGTCTGTGTGAGCGGAGCAGCAACATGAAACAGATCAGCAGCAACATGAAACAGATCAGCAGCAACATGATGTGGTTTTACACAGTGATTATTCTAGTTAGAGATTCATGAGTCTAACAGCCTCAGGGTAGAAGCTGTTCCTCAGTCTAGTGGTTCTACACTTAATGCTCCTCAACCTCCTTCCTGAGGGGAGTGGGGCAAAAAGTGTGTGCTGGGTGGGTGGGGTCCTTCATGATGCAGGTGGCTCTCTTCCTGCATCTAGAGGTGTAGATGTCTGTGATGGTGGGGAGGCTGATTCCGACAGATTTCTGTGCAGCCTTCACCACTCTCTGCAAAGCTTTTCTTTCTGCAGCTGTGCAGCCTCCATGCCACACATTGATGCTCGAGCACAGGATGCTCTCCACTGCACACCTGTAGAAGGAGGTGAGGACTGAGCTTCCCAGACCAGCTCGCCTCAGCCGTCTGAGGAAGTAGAGTCTCTGATGAGCTTTCTTCATCAGGCTGGTGGTGTTGTTGCTCCAGCTGAGGTTGTCATTCATGTGTACACCCAAGTACTTGTAGCTGGAGACCACTTCCACTGCAGATCCTCTTATGTTCAGGGGGGTGTAGGTGTTTTTGTTCCTTCTGAAGTTCACAATCATCTCCTTTGTCTTCTTCACATTGATGTGAAGGTTATTCTCTTTGCACCAGCTCTCCAGGTGTTCCACCTCTTGCCTGTAGCTGGACTCATCATTGTTTGTGATGCATCCCACCACCGCTGTATCATCTGCAAACTTTACAATGTGACAGCCTGGATGGGTAGCTGCACAATCATATGTGAGCAGAGTAAACAGGAGGGGGCTCAACACACATCCCTGTGGAGAGCCAGTGCTGATGGTTATGGTGGAAAAGGAGAAGTTGTGGATCCTCACTAACTGTGGTCTGTTTGTTAAAAAGTCTAGTACCCAGTTGCAAATGGAAGGGCTTAGTCCTAGTGTGGATAGTTTGTCAATCAGGGTTTGGGGGATCATGGTGTTGAAGGCAGATGTGAAGTCCACAAAGAGCATACGGACGTAAGAGTTTTTCTGCTCCAGGTGGTTGAGCGCAGTGTGGACCACAGAGGAGATGGTATCCTCTGTTGATCGGTTCTCACGGTATGCATACTGATGAGGGTCCTCGTTGATGTTGATGGTTGTTTTGATGTGAGTCATGACCAGTTTTTCGAAGCATTTAGCGACTATTGGGGTGAGGGCCACTGGCCGATAGTCATTCAGACCAGTCACTGTAGAGCTTTTTGGGACTGGGATGATGGTGGCAGTCTTCAGGCAGGTGGGAACTGTCTCCAGGGTAAGTGAGGTGTTAAAGATGTCTGCCAGCACCTCATAGAGCTGATCAGCACATTCCTTCAACCATTTCCGGGGATGTTGTCTGGGCCAGTTGTTTTGTATAAAAATAAAATGTAAATAAAAACTAGAGCAACTGCATATCCTGTGAAAATACAGTGTGAATGCTTAATGTAGAAGAACTTGCTTAAAAACATGAAATTAGCTCAAAATACATTCTGAAATGTATCTGAAATAGAAAAACAAGCCTAAATTAGCAGAAGAAAACAGAACACATATTTGCTGAATTAGGTTTAAATAAGCAGAGATTAGCACAAATTTAGGAAATTAGAAAAGAAAAAAAAAGCTGACATTCACCAAAAAATAGCTGAATAGTAGCTGAAAATGCATAAAGAAGCTTAAACTGGCACAAGGAAGTGGAAAGAGCTGAAATGAGCTAAAAAAAATTGAAATTGACTGAAAAAGCTAAAATTAGCATAAAAACAGATAAATAGTGGCTGAAAGAGCTGA